AAAATTAATTTATGCTGGGAAGTCTGAATCATTGTCATCCTTAAGTGAAAGTAGTGACTGGAGAACATGTTTCTGGGGTGCTGGTAACGTTCTGATTCTTTTACACAAGTGTGTTCAGTTTGTGAAACTTCATCAACCTATACATTTACATTTAGATAGGTATGTAAGTATGTAAGAAAGTGCATATGAAAATTATACATAAATTAAAATTTTTAAAAACTAAACTCTAGGCAAGTGTAGATACAAGTCACTTCTAACATACTTACTTACACAGACACACATAGATTGAAAGTGAAGGGACAGAAAATGATATTCCATGCAAATGTAATACAAAAGTGAGCAGGAGTAGCCATACTTGATCAAATAAACCTGACTTTAAGTCAAAACTTGTACTAAGAGACAAGGGAGGACATTTTTTAATAATAAAGGGATCAATACAGCAAGAGGATGTGACAGTTACAAACATATATGCACCCAACATAGGAGCACCCAAATATATAAAGCAGATATTACCAGATCTACAGGAAGAGATAGACACCAATACAATAATAAGTGGGAACTTTATATCCCACTCTCAGCATTGGGCAGATCGTTGAAACAGAAAACCAATAAAGAAAAATTGGATTTAAATGGCACCATAGACCAGATGGACCTAACAGACATTTATACGACATTTTATCCAACAGCTACAGAACACATTTTCATCAGCTCATGGGACATTCTCCAGGATTGGCCATATGTTAGGCCACAAAACAAGCCTCAACAAGTTCCAAAAAATTGAAATTATATCAAGTATTTTTTCTAACCATAATGGAATAAAACTAGAAAACAATAACAAGAGGAACTTCTGAAATTACACAAATGCATGAGAACTAAACAATGTGATCCTGAATGACCAGTGGATCAAAGAAGAAAATCAAAAAACTTCTTGAAACAAATGAAGACAGAAACACAATACACCAAAACCTTTGGGATACAGCCCAGGCGGTATTAAGAGGAAAGTTTACAAAAATAAATGCCTAAATTAAAAAAAAAAAAAAGAAAGAAAAAAAGATTTCAAATAAACAGCCTAAAAATGCACCTCAAGGAACTATAAAAGCAACAACAAAACAAACCCAAAATAAGAAGAAAAGAAATAATAAAAATCAGAGCAGAAATAAATGAAATTGAGACTAAAAATACAATACAAAAGATCAATCAAAAGCTTTTTTTTGAAAAGATAAACAAAATTGAGAAATCATTAGCTACACTAAAGAAGAAAAAAAAATACACAAATAAACAAAATCAGAAATGCAGAAGGAGACATTACAACTGATACCACTGAAACACAAAGATAATTAGAGACTATTATGAACAACAATATGCCAATAAATGTGAAAACTTAAAGTAAATGGATAAATTCCTGGACACATATGACCTGCCAAGATTAAACAAAGAAGAAATACAAAACTTAAATAGACCAATAACAGGTACCAAAACTAAATCAGTAATAAAAAGTCTCCCAACAAAGAAAAGGCCAGGACCAGATAGCCTTACTGCTGAATTCTACCAAATTTTTAAAGAAGAATTAATACAATACTTCTTAAACTATTTCAAAAATTTTTAAGTGGATGGAATTCTTCTAAACTCATTCTATGAGGCCAGCATTACCATGATACAAAAACCAGGCAAGGATTCAACAAAAAATAAAACTACAGGCAAATATTCCTAATGAACATAGAGGCAAAAATTCTGAATAAAATAATAGCAAACCAAATTCAACAACATATCAAAAAGATCATATACCATGATCAAGTGAGATTTATCCCAGGGATGCAAGGATGATTCAACATATGGAAATCAATAAACATGATACATCACATCAACAGAATGAAAGAAAAAAACCATCTGATCATCTCAATACATGCAGAAAATGCATTTGGTAAAATTCAACATTCCTTCACGATAAAAACTCTCAACAAATTAGGTATAGAAGGAAATTATCTTAACACAATAAAGGCTATATATGCCAAACCCACAGCTAACATCATACTGGAACAAGACAGGAATGTCCAATCTCAACACTTCTATATAGTACTTTAAGTCCTAGCCAGAGCAATCAAGCAAAAGAAGGAAATAAAGGGTATCCAAATTGAAAATGAGGAAGTCAAGTCATCCCTGTTTGCAGATGACATGACTTTATATAGAGAGAAACCTAAAGACTCTACCTAATAAACAAATTCAGTAAAGTTGCAGGATACGAAATCAATGTACAAATATCAGTAGCATTTCTATACACTAACAACAAACTAGCAGGAAAGAGAAATCAAGAAAACAATCTCATTTACAATAGTAACAAAATAATAAAATAAAATACCTAGGAATAAATTTAACAAAGTAGGTAAATGATCCATACAATGAAAACTGTAAAACACTGATTAAAGAAATTAAAGAAACAAACAAACAAAAATGGAAAGACATCCCATGTTCATGGATTGGAAGAATCAATGTTGTCAAAATGACCATACTACAAAAGTGATCTACAGATTCAATGTAATCCCAATCAAACTACCAATGACATACTTCATAGAAATAGAAAAAATAATCTAAAATCTTATATGGAACACTAAAACACCCCAAATAGCCAAAGCAATCCTGAGCACAAAGAAAAAAGCAGGAGGCATCACTCTCCCTGACTTTTAATTATACTACAAAGCTACAGTAATCAATACAGCATGGTATTGGCACCAAAACAGACAGGTAACCCAATGGAACAGAATAAATAATCCAGAAATAAATCCGCCTACCTGGAGCCAACTGTTTTTTGATAAAGGAGCCAAGAACATGCATTGGAGAAAGGACAGTCTATTCCATAAACGGTGCTGGGAAAATTGGAGATCCACATGCAGAAGAATAAAACTAGACCCCTATCTCCCACCATATACCCAAATCAACTCAAAATGAATTAAAGGCTTAAATGTAAGCCCTGAACCTATAAAACTTCTAGAAGAATACACAGGGGAAATGCTGCAGGACATAAGTCAGGGTAAAGATTTTAAGGCAAAGATTTGTTACCTCAAAAGCACAGGCAACAAAAACAAAAATAAATAAATGCAATTATAGCAAACAAAAAAGCTTCTGCGCAGCAAAGGAATCAATCAACAGAGCAAAGAGATAATCTATAGAATGGGAGAAAATATTTACAAACTATGCATCCAACAAGGGATTAATATCCAGAATATACAAGAAACCCAAACAACTCAATAGTAAAAAAAAATAATAATAAAACCAATTTAAAAATGGGCAAAGGATCTGAATAGACATTTCTCAAAAGACATATAAATGGCCAACACGTATATGAAAAAATTCTCAACATTACTAATCATTAGAGAAATGTGAATCAAAACCACAGTGAGATATCATCTCTCCCCTGTTAGATTTTCTTTTTCTTTCTTTTTTTTTTTTTTTTGTCCTTTTTGAGACCAGCCACACCGCGCTCAGCCAGTGAGCACACCAGTCAGCCCTATATAGGATCTGAACCCGCAGCAGGAGCACTGCTGCGCTCCCAGCACCGCACTCTCCCGAGTGCGCCACGGGCTCGGCCCTCCCCTGTTAGATTTTCTATTATCAAAAAGACAGAAAATAACAAATGCCAGCAAGGATGCGGAGAAAAGGGAACTCATATGTTGTTGGTGGGAATGAAATTAGTACAGCCATTATAGAAAACAGTGTGAAGGTTTCTCAAAGAACTACAGACAGAACTGCCATATAATCCAGCAATCCCACTACTGGTTATATACCCAAAGGAAAGAAAATCAACATGTCAAAGGGATACCTGCACTCCCATGTTTATGATGGCTCTATTCACAATAGCCAAAATTTGGAACCAGCCTAAATGCCCATCAACAGATGACTGGATAAAGAAAATATGGTGTATACATATACAATGGAATACTACTTAGCCATAACAAGAGTGAAATTCTGCTATTCGCAGCAACATGTATGAGCTGGGGAAAAATTATGTTAAGTGAAATAAGGTAAGCACAGAAAGAGAAATACTGCATGTTCTTACTCATATGTGGAAGCTAAAAAAGTTGATCTCACAGAAGTAGAGAATAGAATAGCGGTTACTAGAGACTGATAAGGGGAGGAGGGAGAAGGAGAGGGTAGTCAATGGATACAAAATTGCAGAGAGATAGGAAGAATAAGATCTAGTGTTCTACAGCAATACAGGGAGACTACAGTCAACAACAAACCACTGTGTAACTTAAAGTTGCTAATTGAGGGGATGTTGAATGTCCCCAACACAAAGAGGTGACAAATGTTTGAAGTGGTGGATATGCTAAACACCCTGACATGATCGTTGCACACTGTATAAATGTACCCAAATACCACATTGTACTCCATAAATATATGTAATGATCATAGGCCAATTAAGAAAAAATAAAATGAAAAAAAATTTTCAGAGACAAAAGTAAATTTGAGGTTACCAAAAACAGGGGAAGGAATAATAAGTTATTGCTTAGTGGATGCAGAGTTTATGTTCGGGATGATGAAAAAGTTTTGTAAATAGACAGAGGTGGTAACAACTTTGTAAATGTAATTAATTCTACCCAACTGTATGTTGAAAATGCTTAAAATGTCAATCTTTATGTTATATATAACCACAATAAAAAAATTAATTTACAACAATCACTTCTATCTCTAATGACAATGCAACTAGATGAAGGAAATCACATTTCAATTAGGCCCTCAGAGATAGGCAAGTCTTCCTAGGTAGAGATGGAGAATGGGCATTCTAGAAAAAAAGAAATGGTAAAAGCAAAAGCGTGGAGGTTGAAAATAGTAAAGAGCATTTAGAAAATGACTAAATTGGCCAAAGAATAAGGTTGGAATAACAAAGAAGCACAACAAACCGGTTCACGCTGGAACCTTGGAAGGAAGCGTCTCTGTTGTGTTCAGCCATTCTGTAGGACTTTGAGGAGAACCTTGCACCGGGTAGACACCATCTGTCACCATAGGTAAAGGAGATCCCAACAAGCCGAGGGGCAAAATGTCCTCGTATGCCTTCTTCGTGCAGACCTGCTGGGAAGAGCACAAGAAGAAACACCCAGACTCTTCTGTCAATTTTGCCGAATTCTCCAAGAAATGTCCAGAGAGATGGAGGACCATGCTCACAAAGGAAAAGTCGAATTTTGAAGATATGGCTAAAAGTGACAAAGCTTGGTATGACAGGGAGATGAAAAATTACGTTCCCCCCAGAGGTGATAAGAAAGGAAAGAAAAAAGATCCCAATGCTCCTAAAAGGCCACCATCTGCCTTCTTCCTGTTTTCTCTGAACATCGCCTAAAGATCAAAAGTGAACACCCAGGCCTATCCATTGGGGATACTGCAAAAAAATTGGGTGAAATGTGGTCTGAACAGTCAGCGAAAGATAAACAACCATATGAACAGAAAGCAGCTAAACGAAAGGAGAAATATGAAAAGGATATTGCTGCATACCGTGCCAAGGGCAAAAGTGAAGCAGGAAAGATGGGTCTTGGCAGGCCAACAGGCTCAAAGAAGAAGAATGAACCAAAAGATGAGGAGGAGGAGGGGGAAGAAGATGAAGAAGTTGAAGATGAAGAATAAATGGCTATCCTGCAATGGTGGGTGTGGATTGTGTGAGTGTGCTCAGGAGATTGTTTTGCTAAGAATGTGAATTCAAGTGCAGCTCAATATTAGCTTCAGTATAAAAACTGTACGGGGCTGGCCCGGTGGCGCACTGCTACAGTGCGCCGCTTGAGAGCGCGGTGGCGCTCCCGCCAAGGGTTCGGATCCCACATACAGACCAGTTCCCGCTCACTGGCTGAGCGAGGTGTGGGGGCAACACCGAGGGTTGCGATCCCGTTGCCGGTCTGGTACGGGCGCGACACTGAGGGTTGCGATCCGTTGCCGGACACAAAAAAAGACAAAAAGGAAAAAAAATAATAATAAATAAAATAAATAAAAATAAAAATAAAAACTGTACAGATTTTTGTATAGCTGATAAAATTCTTTGTAGAGAAAATACTTTTTTAAAAATGCAGGTTGTAGCTTTCTGAGGGGCTACTTCATACAGTTAGATTTTAAAGCTTCTGATGTTGAATGTTCCTAAATATTTAACGGTTTAATTTCTTGACTTGTGTATGGTAGCACAGCAAACTCATGGGAATTAGTATCATAGTACATTTTGGGTTTTTTAGGATATTGCATTTTATGGGTTTTTTTTAAGTGTTGTAATAAAATTACATATATTTTTAAAAAAAGAAAAGAAAGAAGCACAAGAAAGTTTCAAAACTTGACTGAGGGAGACTGAAGAATTTGGTTTATTCTTGGGTGATGAGGAGCTAGTGAAGTTTTTTTGTATTGTTTTTAAGTGAGAAGCAAAGTGATCAGATATACAAATTAGAAAGATCAGTGTGCTGGATACAGTAGAGAAAGAAGAGACTAGAGATTGGGTGGGGGCAGCATACAAGACCCTGTGTGGTCTGCCCCTGACCACCCACCTCTGCAGCCTCACTCTTCACTGAAGCCCACCCTGCTGCAAGCCAGTCATTCCATCACTTGCAGTTCTTCGACCAAACCAAGCCCTCCTGGCTTTGCACATGGGGCTCCATCCCCATGGGGGACCCTTCCTCTGCTCCTTCACTAGGCTTACACTTCCCTTCCTCTAGCACTCCTAGGAGCTTTGCCATAAAATAAAGCAAAGTCTGTAAGCGCAAAACTCATCTTCAGGATTCTCAGGACCAAAGTGTGTATAAACCAATTAAGGAAACATAAGATACAGTTTTTGTTGTCAAATTATGGGCAAACTCTGAAGGAAAAATATCTATTACATTTCAACATACTTATTCACAAAAAAACAAAATTTCATTTAGTAGTTTCTCAGCATTCTTGAGCCTCTTCTCACTTTGAATTGTCTAACTAGGGTCGCCATAACCACAGAAACTTGTAGTAGTTTCCATAATGAAAAATCACCAGGGGTCATCTCAGAAGATAACCCCAGATCCAATTTGTTTTGGTGCACAACATGCTATGCCTCCCCCTTCCCACACTACTAACCATAAAGATACTCCTTGGCTATTGGCAAGAAATTAGAAATTGGGTATTGCATAAATTGGGTTATTTTTATAGACTCAAGTTGCTCAATGCACGAGGCAAACATATAAGGGCAAAAGAGAATTACCTGGATGTTTTCCAAGGTTCACAAGGAAACAGGAAAATTCTAATCCACAATCCTTTATACTTTCCAAGCAAAACACATCATTAAGCATTGTTAAGTTCAGTCTTCTACAAATGCAAATATTGGCCAAGGTAATGCACACGCAAGGCAGAGGAACAAATATTTGTGGTGAGGTTTCAGTGCCAGGACCCAGTTTTGATAAAGAGGAAGAATGAAAGCCAATTGATGCCTCTGGTACTGCCTGGAATACCCTTTCCTATGTCCTCCATCTGGTTTATTTCTATTTGTCTTTCAGAGTAGATCTTAGCTTATCTCTTACGAGAAGCCTCATTGAACCCTTCCTATGTTGGGGGGTTGGGGTGGCTGCTGCTTTTCTGAAGTACCAGGGCACTCCATGTCTACACTAAGCACAGCCTTTGCTGCCTGAGAAGTGACAAAAGCTTTCCTGGTCTGCTCCTGCTCTGGCTCGGAATATCTTCAGGACAGGGACTGTATCTCTTGTTCATCTCTCAGTCTCTCATGCCTGGCACAGTGCTTTGCACATTAAGGCACAGCAAACTTGAATGTATGCTCGGAAGGTCCTTTTAATGCTTCTTAGCCTCTTCTTGGCCTCTTAGCTGGTCCTGCTGAGTCTTAAAGGAATGTAGGGTGATCAACTGCCGCAGTTTGCTAAGTGCTAAAGTCAGGACTTGAAGCCATCTTCTATCTCCAAAGCCCATGGTTTTTCCCACATAATAATGTCATTAATTTTCTTTTCACTGTTTTAAAAGTCAATAACACTACCTAACTTGTATAATAACAAATATATGATCATTTTTGAAAATTTAAAAAATACAGACAAAAAAAAATCACTCAAAATCCCATCTCTAACTAGTCACTGTTAATATCATAGTGCACATTCTTCAAGATCTTTTCCCACATAAAGTCATTACATACAAACATGTCCAGGTTGTGACCAGGCTTGTGTGGAGGCATTGTTCTTTACAGTGTCAGCACCATGACCGCAGTATTACGCAAAAGAGACTATGCCTCACTCCGGTTCAAAAACTCTGAGTTTTTTGCTTCTTTGTTTGTTTTACACTTGACCAATTGCTTAAAACAGGATGTGTGCTTTCATTTGGGATGATGTATTCTGTACCTTTGTTATATTCTCAAGTTTTCCAAGCTCTCACTGATAAACCATTTCAATCCACCCCAGTCTATTTCTGAACAATGCCCATCTGGAGTCCTCAATTCTCCCACTCCAGTGTAGACCAGTTACTCTTTAGGCTGCTGCCCAACAACTGTCCAGGGCTTCACTGCCCTGCTGTCCCAGTGTGCCAGTGTGGAGTGACAGCTTCCTGTGACCCCACCTTCTTCTTTCTTAGATTACTCTCTTATTGCTGAAATCCAACCTCAAGAAATTTTTGCAAACTGTATATTGGAGATAAAATGTCTAATCCTTAAATATTTGAAATGGCTTTTTCCCCTTATTGATAGTTTGGCTAAGCATAGCAATCTGAATTTAAAGTTATTTTCCCCAGAACTTTGAAAGCTTTGCTCTATATTTTTCTTAGTATTTCATAATGCTGATAAGAGTTTGATGCTGCTAATTAAGTCTTCTATTTTCTCTCTTCTCAGATTTTAGTGTATGTGAGGTGTGTTTATGTGTGCTATTGCTGGATAAAAGGGAACGCATAATTTACTGTGGTAGGCAGAATAATGCTCTCCACCCTCTCAAAGACATCCAGGGCCTAATCCTCAGAACCTGTGAATTTGTTATTTTACACAGCAAAAGGATCTTGACAGACATGATTAAGGTTACCAATGAGATGGAGAGATTATCCCAGATAATCTGGGTGCACCAGATAATTGCAGCCAGATAATTAGTGCACCACCAATCTAATCACATGAGTGTTTGAAAGTGGAGAATTTTTCCTGAGTCAGAGTTGAAACAGAAGGAAGAGGAGATTCAAAGTGTGATGGGGACTCAAGTCACCATTACGGGCTTTGAAGATGGAGGAAGGGGACCATGAGCCAGGTAGACTCTAGAAGCTGGAACCGCCCTCAGCTGATAGACAACAAGATGATAAGGAACTTGGACTTACATCTGCAAGGAATTAAATTCTGCTAACAAACTAAATAAGCTGAAAATGAATTCTAGAGCCTAGAAATCCTAGATCCCAGAAATGGATCATAGAGCTTCCAAAAAAGGAGCACAACTGATGTAGCTTTGATTTTAATCCAGTGAGACCCACATCAGACTTCTGACCTACAGAGTTTAAGTTAATAAATGTGTGTGTGTCTTTAAATATGTTGTTTTAAGCCAAGTTTGTAAATGTATATACCATCAAAGAAAACTTATTTATATTTTGATAAATGCTGCCAAAATTTCATCCCCAAAAGCTGAATTTATTTATACTTATGCCAACAGTTGATGAGAAAACTTTTTTCTCAAAACCACGGACATGGGTTATTTTCAATATCTTAATTTTTCCAAGCTGATCCTGAAAACTATTTCATTTTTATTTTCATTTGCAATCCTCTAATTTTTTAACAAGGTTGAGCATCTTTTACATATTTCTTAAACACATTTGTTTTGTTTGGAATTACACTAATTTTTTATTCCTAGATTTCTAAACTTTCAGTGTTATGACTGTGTATAAAACTGTATCCTATTAGGTATCTGTTGGGTTTTTGTCAGACAGTTAATTTAGTTACTAGTATCTCCTTTCTGCTCTGTAAATTATGTTGCATATGAAACCATGTGGCAGAATCTGCTGTCTGCCTAGCTGAGTATCAATTCCTCCCTCCTTTAGTAGGAGAATCCTGACCTTGTCATATGGTCATATTGCTGGGCAGAATTAAGGACTACATTTCTTAGCTTCCCTTGTAGCTAGGTTTGGCCATTAAAATGTAAGCAGACTTATTGGAAAGCTACTTAAAGTTAGTTGCCACAGCTTGGAAGAGCTTCCCTGCCCCCACCCCGTACCCACCCCACTAACTTTACTTCTTTTTTATGGCCTGAATTCAGATATAACAACTGCAGTTGCAGAAGCCATCATGGACCATGAAGTGGTTCTGCCAAAGGAAACCCTTTGGTTGATGATAGAATGGAGCCTGGTGTTCCTGGTGACTCGCTGAAGCCACCAAACCACCTTGTTACTGCCTTCATTTTTTATATGAGTGAGAAATTTCCATCTTGTCAATATTTGATCATTTTGTGATTTTCTATTGTATGTAGTGAAATCCTATCCTAATACAGAATTCCCCCACTGAGCTTCTATGCCTTTTATCTCTTATCTTTCCTATCTCTCACTCTTTTTGTTCTATTTTCTAGGTGAGTTTCTTGATTCTTCTTTAAAACCTTCTTTTTTTTTTTTACTATTTCTGCAATTACAATTTTATTTTCTAACAGTTATTTCTTTTTTATATCATAATTTTTTTG